GGTTAGTTTCACTGCAAAAGAGAGAATATTTTATTATTCTCTATTGGAGCCATTAACACACACACACACACACACACACACACATATGTCAGTGTGTGATATTGATATTCTTTTTGCTTGTAAAGCTGTCAAACAACAACAGCAACAACAAAGATGTGTGTGGGTGTACATTGTACACTGTACACATATATACACAATGAAAGTTGTTCCGGCACCGGTTTTTCTTTTTTTGGTCATATATCTATCATACTATTACCAATGAAAAATAATTGAATTGTAATTGAAAAGTGAAACAAAAAAAAGTTTTATTTTAATTCAATTTTCACCATTCATTCATTCATAAATTATAATTTTTGTTCTTTCATATAGAAACCAATTATTAGAAAAAATGCAACAAAATAATGTAAAAATGCTTCCACTAAACCGGTGAATGTTATCTCGGCTAGATGTCCAATTGTATATGCAATTTTTTTGCCAAACATTAATCGTTCATAAAGACAATCATATTTGATTTTCATTCGTAAATGTTGTCCACATTTTAATAGTGGTTGCATTGGTAGAATATAATTTCTAATTCTATGAAAATCATTTGAAACATTTGCTAATGTCAAAATGGTAATAGACCAGTTAACATATGGATGATTATAATCGATATGAATAATAATTGTATTTGTATGGATAAATCTTCGAAAATCAATTCACATATAAATGTAATATTAATCGGTAAACTAATGATAGTAAAATAATATAATGAATGGCTCCATGTTTGTTTATTGGTCAATAATTCATAATATGATAGACGATTATGTTGTCTATAAATGAATTGTAATTGTTGTAATTCATTCTGATTGATTGATTTTTGTTTTTGTCGTTTTTTATTATCCAAAATAATTTTATAAAATTTTCTATTCAATTCATTCAATCCACAATGAAATAATTGATATGTTGCCATTATTGTACATGATAATAATGCTGCATATTGATATAATTGTAATAGATTATGTATGACTATTGGACATTCCATTATGATCAATAATTTCATTATTAATGAATTTTGAACAATTTGATATTGAAAAATTTGTTTGAAAGTTGCCATGAAACCAATGATGATTAGAGATACTTTTTTTTTGTTTTTTGTTTGATAATGAAATGAAATTCATTAATGGTTTGTTTCTGGTAAAGCAAAAAAAAAAACTTACTTGCAATAAAATGGCCAATAAAAGTGCAAAAATCGATAATCATTACAAACAATACAACATTATAACGGCATTTAGCTGTTGCATATGGAAATAGTTTCATTTTATTGATTTTTTCAAACATTTCCCGGTCTATATGATCCATTTCTAGCCATGATTTTAGCCAAACTTTAATGTAAATCAAATACTTAATGATGATTGATATAAATAATTTTTTCATCACCATAGATGAACATTGATGATGACGATGATGATGATGATGATGATGAATATGTTGACAATAATGATTATCAAAACGAATGGACATTTTTGTTGCAATATTTTCAGGCTTATCAAAACTTTTATAATATTGATCCGTATTATAAACAATACAATCATATAGAATCTGAATACTAAGCCTATTGGATGGTGTATAGAAAAATGTTTTTATACCAACAAATCCAATCATTGTAATCAATATTTGAATGATTATAAAGAATTTATTGACTATTTTACGATTTTCCCAACAATACAATGATGCATAATCATATTTATATAATGGAAATCTATCCACATCCATATACATTAAGCCAATGATTAATAATCGTATAAATGAATAAATACAAAGAATCATGTCCATTCTATGTAATCGTCGATAATGGCTGGATCCATATTCATCACCAATATGTTTCATGGCATTATAGATGAAATTTTTCACTCTAAACAACATGTTTGTTTTTCAATTTTCAATTTATTTGTAATCAAGATTTGAAAATGCAAATATAATGATGGACGATGAAATGAGAAATGAAGAAAAAATTTTTTTTCGTTTTGAAAATTTTGAAATCACCATCATCATCGTCATTTTTTTTGCCATTTGGAAAACAAAAATTTTTTTGATTCAAGGTTAATTGTCATTTGAAAACTATGTTCTCTCTCTCTCTCGCTCTCATTTTTTTTTTTTTTTTTTGCTTGTGAATTTGAATTTCGAAACAGAGATAGAGAGAAAGAGAGAAACTAATGATATTTGAACGGAAATTTGTTTAAAATTTAATGACAAGTTATTGTTGATTGTCATTGATTGATCGATGAATGAATGAATGAATAATTTTGGCTTGAATTTCAAAACAAAACAAAAAATCGAACCAAACCAAACCAATGATTGACGTTTGTTGTTGTTGTTGTGGTTGTTTTGTTTCGATGATTTCAACAAAACACACTGTATTTGAGCCCATTTTTTCTTTGCCCTGGGTACCATGGCATTCAACTGTTTTTTTTTCATTCATTCAAAAAAAAAAAACAGTTGAAAAAGTTATGTCAATTTTTTTGTTTTCATTTTCATTTTTTTTTCGATAAAGAATCTAGTCCAGTTTTTTCCGGTTCCATATTCAATCCATTTTTGTTTGTTTGTTTTAGTTTTAGTATAATCATCATGTATATGAATGTGTGTGTGTGTGTGTGTGTGTTGTGTGTGTGTTTTCATCAAAATTCATTTTTTGTTGGTTTTCTACGGTGACCATTGCATTGCATTTTCGTTTGAAAAGAATTTCACTGTTTTTTTCTTTTCAAATTTTTTTTCCATAATTTCAATTCAAAGAAAAAATATTCCATTTCATTCTTTTGATTCCGGATGGCCAATACTTTTTTTTCTCTTGAAATGTCAGATTTTTTTTTTTTTTTGTTTGTTTGTTTGTTGTTGTTGAATTCAAAATGAATAATGCACCAAGACAAAAAAAAACCGACACACATTATGATGATGATGATGATGATGAAAGGATTGTGTTTTTATTGTCAACCATGACCGGCAATTATTATTCCAAGGTCTTTTTTTTCGCTAGCCGGTCCTAGCATATATGCAAAACAAACAAATGTTTACACACACACACACACACATGACAAATTAGAAACAGGAACAAAAAAAAAAAACCGTTCGTTTCCCGTTGATTTTTTTTTTTCGCTTGCTTTTTCATTTTTTAATCACTCGTTGGTTGGTTGGTTGGTTGGTTGGCTTTACTGGGTTTAGCGTTTTACGTTTCGTTTGTTTCATTGTGTTTCATGTATGTATTCATAAATTCAGATTTCAATTTTCGGTTTTCTCTCTCTCACTCTCTTGTTCATTTTGAATGGTTCATTCATTCAAAAATTATGAAAAAAATTTTTTTTTCGTTTCCATTCCATGTAAATGCATTTGAACAAATGAACAAAAAAAAATATTCGTTTGTCATTGAAAAATGAAAATGAAAATGAAAGATTTTCCATTTTTTTTTCCACTCAACGAATTAGCGAGAAAAAAAACGTTGTTTCTAGCGGATTCTGTTTTTATATCTCGCTGCTGCTGCTGCTGATACATAATCCAGTAAGTAAAATCAAAAAAAATTCTCTAATGATAATGATGATTGAGTGAAAGATTTTCGTTTTGTTTTGTTGTTTTGTTGTTGTTGTTGTTATTCTATGGTAGGAAACGAAAACAAAAAAAAATCCTCACAAATACCAAATGTTTTCTGATGAAATGAAATGAAAATTTTGTTTTTCTTGTTTCGTATTATTGATAAAAACAATGATTTCTATTTTTATTTTTTTGTTGCTCCAAAAAAAAAAACAGCATCCATTATGGCCGGTAAAACTAGACTGAACTAGTAGTGGCGGAAAAGATAAGAAGAAATAATCAAAACTTTTTCCGTTGTTTGTTACAAAAACATACGATTTTTTTTTCTCTCTCTGGAAAATTTTTTTGTTTCATTTCATTGTACATAATCTATTTTTCCGGAAAATTTCTTTTCTGTTTGTCTGTTTGTTTGTTTGTATCAGAATTCAATTTTCAAATTCATTGTTAAACATCATCATCATCATCATCATCATGGTTTTATCATTGGCCATCTTGATTAGATGATTTATCCGATTTGGGATGGACACAAGAAAAAAACTATTAATACTGAAAAAAAAATGTTGATGATGATTGAGATTCTTATTTTTGTGGATTCTTGATTTCAGAATTTTTTTTTTTTTTTTTACTTTAAAGATATTCTGCTGACGTTGTGCCTTTTTCTTTTCAAAGAAAGAATGAAGAATGAAAATCGAATTACCGAATTGTAGAGAGAAAATGGGATTTTTTTAAAAAAAAACACAACATACAATGATCACTTGAAAATTTTATTCCACTTGATTCTCTCTGTCTTTACCGGTTGGATCTTTAAATGTTCTTGTTGTGTGATGATGATGATGATGATGATGATAACCGAGACGATCATAATACCAAGCTGATCAAAGCAGTATTTTTGTAGTTTGTTTTTATAGTTTATCTACAAAAAAAAAATTGTTCATCACAAAACAAAATGAAAAAAAAACCAATCATGCTATATCATTATCGATTGTTTGATCTTTTTTGTTTCTCTTGTTGATCGACGATGATCAATTTTTTTTGTTTTGTTTTGTTTTGGATAGAAACGACTAAACAAATCGACTACATGACTAATCCTAATTTAATAAGATTTTTCCAATCAATTTGGAACGCCCAAATTTTTTTTTTGCCAATGATGATGATGATGATGGAGAATGGGGATGGGTTTTTCTCTTATCATAATAATTCGATTGATTGATGATGATTATTATTATTGATGAATGTGAATGTGAAATAAAAAAAGTTTCAAGTGTTCATTTTTTTCATTATGATAAGCTTAACAATTAGTGTATAAACACATATATGTGTGATGAACGAATTTTTTTTTGTTTTCCAAAGTAATCGTGATTACTATCGATACTGTCAAAACATTTTTCGAATCAATAAAGTTGTTTTGTTTTGTTTTGTTTGTTTGTTTTCATCTATAGATATATGGCAACATTGCATCCATTTTCATCATTACATCATTGGCTTGAATGTCATACACATATAATGTTGGCATTAACATGGGTATTCGGTGCAGCATATGCATATATACCGTTTGAAAATACGGCCACCAGACCGTTTATGTTACCAACAGATAATCAGACAACATATTATGAATGTACATATGATAATGGTGTTTCCGTATTGAAATTACGACTATTTATGACATCAAATATTGTGCTTACATTCATATTACCATTAACCGTATTAATATTCAGCTATTCGGCAATAATGCGTAAATTGATTGCAGATGAAAAACGTTTTCGTAAATCATCTAATCATGCATATGGTGTAAAATTTAAATCATCAATATGTCGATCAACGGATAGTAATTCACAGAATCAGAATCAGAATCAAAATAAAAATCCAAATCCGAATATAAATATGAAACGAAAAATTAACTATATGACTGATATGATGATTAATGATGATCATAATAATGGTGGATCTAGTACATGTAGTATAAATAATAGTGATTCACAATCATCATCATCATTACCATCCGCATTACCGTTATCGTCCAATTCTGTACTTCCGGTTAATTGTCATCATAATAATCATATGATTAAAATGATTAAAAAAACAAATGAACAACGAAATAATTGTAGTAGCTGCTGTTCATCATCATCACCATCATCATCATCGAAACATTTAAAACCCATACAAGTAACGACCAATGTAATGAATGCAAAAAATTCACCGGAAATGGAAATAATTAAACCATCAATTATTAGTGAAATTAATAATAATAACAATAACAATAATGGAACATTATGTTCATGTGATCATTGTCATCATCAACAACAACGACCACAGCAATCGGGGCCTTGTTTATCGACGAACAATAACAACAATTTGGTTGGCTTTTCAAATGGCCGTCTATGTCCTACGGAAGAATTAATGATGATAACAAATTCATCATCTAGTGCGCCTCCAACACCATCCATAAATCAACAATTATCAACTAGTCAGATTGATTTAAGAAAATCTACGCCATTTAATCATCGTTCAAAGGTATGTTGTATTTTTTTTTTTCGTTTGATGAAAAAAAAACAATATATATCGACAAACAATAATAATGAATATATATTGAATATTGATATTTGATGATATGTGTGTGTTTAGAATATTAAATTATTGTGAATGAATAAAATGAATGAACTTTGATGAGATACACATACACAATAGACATATTAACCAAAAAAAAAAAAAAAAACTAAGCGAGCATAAAAATTTAATCAAAAAAAAAAAAAAAAAAAATAAAAATAAAAAATATTCGCAAATACCCAATCAATTACAAATTGAATTTTTTCGTTTCTTGTCAACCGGAAACGATTTTGTTGCCATCCAATGAGTGAATTGAATGCATTATGTAATGGTGGTGGTGGTGGCGGTAGTGTTGGTTTGATTGAATGGTTGGTTGATATACGAAATCAAATCAAATCAAAAAAAAAAACTTATTTCAATATCAAATACCAAAGAAAAAAAAAGAATGTCTCTTTCTGCTTTCAACTTTTTTATTATTATTATTATCATTGTCAATTCATAATGATGATGATGATGATGATGATGGGTAATAATACGGAAACGGAAAACCAGAGACATAAATTTAGTATGGCAAAAAAAAATCGATAAAAATAGTGAAATTTTCGTTTTTTCCCTCTCTCACACACACACACACACACACACACGCTCTCATTCTTTATTCTGATGACGATAATGGAATAATAAATGTGAATCATTCATTGATTGTTATATCATAGAATCCATCATTATTAGTGAATGTGAAAAAAACAAACAAGCGAACAACAACAACAACAATCTTGAGCGATTCAATTTGTAATCGTTTTTTTTTGTAATAGTTCCAAGTATATTATTTAGTGCATGAAAAAAAAACAGAAACTTTGTTGAAACATTTCATCTTTCAATTTAATCTCTATATATAAATGATGTGCAATTCGTTTGTTTATTAAGCGTGGTGATATATAGGAAAAAAAAGTTTTTCGTTTTTTTTCTCCATTTTGGATCATCAAATCCATTATTACTATTTTAGTAGTAGCAGTAAATCAATTATTTAGTAAAATGAAAATTGATTTTCGTACAATTTTTTTTTGTCTACTGTTGTCTGTTGATATATAATCTAGTTGTTGTCGTAGTTTTAATTTACACCATAATCGAATCGATGATCAATTCATTGATCGATCGATCGATCGATTTGTTTTCAATCCATTTGTTTGAAGATTATCTGTGTTATTGTTGTTTGTAATTTGTTTAATATAGCAGATTTTTTTTGTTTTCGTTTTTTTTCACTTTCCACTTTCCAAAAAACCAATAATAAATAGACAATCAAAATGATGTTCACCGTTATATTATTATATGGTATATGTTGGATGCCAATCAAATTGTATCAATTTCTCAATGATTATGGTCTAATTGCCTATTGTACTGAACGTGAATTATATGCAATGGTTTGTCTTTATTTTATTTGCCATTGGATGGCAATGGCAAATAGTTTTGTCAATCCAATCATCTATTCATTTATGAGTAAAAGTTTTCGGGTAAGTACCAAAAAAAAAATACAGAGAGAGAGAGAAAGTTTTATTTGTATTATTAATAATTTGATGATGATGATGGTGTGATAATGTGAAAATTGGAAACATTCATTCATTCATTCATTAATTGTATCAATTACACATTCCATTCGAAAATGAATCAATCAGTTTCTTTTCAGTTTTTGGCAATCAATGAAAAAAAAAGTTACTTTAGGTTTTTCCAAGAATTTTTTTATTTATATCTATGATGATATACATTGGTTTCGTTGTGTCGTTTACCAAATTTTTTTTTCTCGTTTTATTTTGAATTTCGAAATATTTTCTCGTTTCGTTTTTTTTTTTTTTTTTTTTGATTCAATTCAATATCCGGTCGGGTGTTTCTAACCAGAAAAAAAACAACGACAACAACAACAACAATGTGTATTAACTTCCATTGATAATTATATGAAAGAAACATGGATATTCAAATGGATTTACAGATGAAAAAAGTATATAGAATCTCGGAAATTTTTTTTTTTTTTGTTTGGTTTTGTTTTATTTCGTGATCTACATGATGATTATGATGATCATGATGATGATTATAATTATTAATTATTAATATAATATTATTATTATTATCATCATCACATGTTATAGTAGTGAAGAATTTTTTTTTTCATTTTATAGAATAATATATAATGAAATCTGAATTCATTTTACCAATGAAATGATTAGTAGTTGATGGGGTTTAGTAGAAACGAAAGAATTATTTAGGTTTTATTCATGATAATAATTATTGCCTTGATTTAGAAACAGTGTCACTGTATGTTTGTATGAATAAATGAATGAATGAATGAATGTCTCTATCATTATCATCATTATCATTTGATGAAAGATTTTGTTCATGTTTAATTTCATCATCAACATCATCACATTTATAATGATGGTGATTATCATAGAATTATCCATGATTTTTTTTTTCGTTTTCGAATATCAGAATTTTTTTTTTTGTCCTCAGTCATTTGCATGATGATTCTTATATTCCTCTCCTCATTATTATAAAATCGGATCACTAACTAACTAATCATGTTTTTTCTCTCTTTTTTTTTTTTCTATTGAATGATTTCGATAAAATAATTTATAGAATGATTTCAGTAAAATAACAAAAACATTTCGACAAACATTTTCAAAAAATCTTAATCAACTTTCAATCAAAACATCATCAACACAAGTATAATAATGTATATATGTGTGAATATAAATGGAATTCTAATCACTGGTTCAATGACAACAACAACAACAACAACGTGACATTGGTCATCATTATTATCACATTAAACGATGACAACTAGCAAAAAAAAAAGATGAGAATGATTGATTTGATTTTGATTATCATCATTTATAGTCATCATTTTTTTTTTATGATCCATTAACGAATGTGTTTGACAATTTTTTTTTCTTGTTGTATATGTTTATCAATTCATGAACGATGTAAAACACACATACACACACACATGCACGCACGCATACAGAGATAACACATTTATGATGTACGAAAATAGAATTGTGAAAAAAAACGAAAATTTTTTTCCCTCTATTCACAAATCGATGACAACCGTGAAAAAAAAACGAAATTTTCAAAATTTTTTTCTGGTCATCATTATAACATTGTTATCACACATTCACCTAAATAATGGCCAAAAACATCCATTAATCATTGTTGTTTTTGTTGTTGTTGTTGTTGGACCTTGACTGACCGATAGTCACACACACGACAACATCATCACGCCATTCTTTTTTTCCCCTTACCCCAACCACCACCATTCATTTCTAATCGATAATCATTATATTGTGATTAATGTCTCTCGATTCTTTTCTGGATGGATTTATATATGTTTTGTATATTATTATATTTTATGTTGTCTCATTCATTCATTGTTGTTCACATTAATAAAAAAAAAAATTCTTGTTTCCGGATTTTTATATACATTTCATTGATGTGTTTATAATTATTGTTATTGTTATTATTATGTAACGCGATATATCGATTATTTTTTGTGTAAATTGAATTGAATTATTATTATTGATGATGATCATCATCATCATCTCAATGATGAATGTGAAAATTATAATTTAATTTGAACTTTGAAAATTGATATTTTGATAAATCATTTTTTTTTCGAGATTAGTGCTGCCATCTAATGTCTGTCGTTCTTAATTTGTCATATTTTGATTTTTTTCTTCATTATTTTCTGTCTGTATCAATAACACAAAATAACCATAAGCAGCTATAATCATTGATAGTAGAAATCTTTGATCATAAATGAAAAGATCATAAAATTTCATACGGAAATATTCTTGATATAGATGAATCATTTCAAAATATCGAATCTGATTACGTGATTTAGGACGAATTTTCATCATCCAAATGGCACCAATTTGATCGAATAATGGCCATAATTGACCAGTGTCCATTGAATTTTGACGTTGTCGATCCAATAATGCCAGTAGATGATCCATTGATCTTGCTGATTGTATTTTAAAATTCTGTTGTCGTCGATCATTTCTATAGCGAAGATGTTTGATAATATTACGTAATGTTCGTTGAATTCGATTATCCATCCATATCCAAAGAAATGTAAATGATGAATTAATAGCCAAAATAATCATAGAAAAAACAGTAGCTTGCCCTTGATGAATCGTAAGCAATGTATGTATAAGATAGAATGTCCATTCAAATGTAAATAAAAGACCAAAAATGCCAGCTTTAGAATTGAATTTCAATGAAATATAAGCCAATAAACGTATAGTACTAATACATTCTTCATCGGTGATTTCATTTGATTTCAATTGTAATTCAATTCGTTGTAATGATTGTCGTATGGCATTTTTGAAATAATAAAACAATGATCGTAAAAGAATTTCACTAAGATACATCATCACCATAATATAACATTTAAGTAAATTCATCATTGATATTGACGCCATTGAACTTGTGGTCAAATTGGCGAAATAATTAAACAACAATGAACAATCAATAATTGTTATGATCAAAAATGTTATCGCTATGAAACGATGTTTCAAATTATCTGGATAAATTATAGTGAATATTGATGAATCAGCCAATCGGATTAAATCATAACCATTCAATGAATAAACTAGATATGATACAATAAATGTTATCAAATATAGAAATTCACCAATCATATCAATTAAACGACCAAATGCATTTTGACTAATTTTAGTTGCTGATACACCATCGTATTCTTGACTATTATGAATATATACATGATAAGAGCCATTAATGAATAATGTAGTCATGATTGTACATTTGATCATTGTCCATCGATGTTTCCATTCGAATCGTCCGAAACTAAATCCAATCATTCTAAGTAACACGTGGAAAAAAAAGTCAACGTTATTATAATTTCAATTTCAAGTTCAAAGTTGAAAAATTTACCGATAAAAGTTGTAAAAAAGTCTTACGGCAAATATTTTTATCTTCATTTTTTTTTATTAAAGATGGTTGTTGTTGTTGTTGCAAAATGAAACAAATGAATGCCAAAAATATAATGATGATAATGAAAATAAAGTCAAGTAAATTCATAAATAGAATAACATACCATGTAATTATTATGATAATGATAATGTTCAGAGGATCAATATTTATTCCTGTTTTCTTATTTATTGATTGATTGATTGATTGATCGATTTATAGCAAATTAATTTTCACATAATTAAACATTCGATCAATTGGTTGAACTTGAAACAAAATAATATGATGAAGACATTGGAAACATGGCAACCGTTGATGAATTTTTTTTTTCTAGAAAAGTTCTACTATATTTTGATGCCCGGTAATTATTACTAAAATTTTTAATTTTCCGTTTGTGTTAGCAACACAAAATAACTGGCAGCAAATATGTTCAATGAAAGTAAAAATCGGGTATCATAAACAATAAGATCATGAAGATTCATACGGAAATATTCTTGATATAAATGAATCATTTCAAAATATCGAATCTGATTACGTGATTTAGGTCGAATTTTCATCATCCAAATGGCACCAATCTGATCGAACAATGGCCATAATTGACCATTGTCCATTGAATTTTGACGTTGTCGATCCAATAATGCCAGCAGACGATCCATTGATCTTGCTGATTGTATTTTAAAATTCTGTTGTCGACGATCATTTCGATGGCTAAGATGTTTGATAATATTAAGTAATGTTTGTTGAATTTGATTATCCATCCATACCAAATAGAATATAAATGATATGTTGAAAATCATTAGTGCCGATTGAATCATATTCGTCGATTGCATTTGAATTTTCAACATTATATACATCAGTTTGCATATATATTCAATAATGAGAATTAATGTTAAATAACCAGCTTTGAAATGGAATTTCATCGAAATTTGTGCCAATTCACGTATATTATTCATACATTCTATTTCAGTAATTTCATTGGATTTAAATTGACATTCGATTCGTTGTAATAATCGTTGTATTGCATTTTTAAAATAATAAAACATCAATTTTGCAAGAATTTTTTGAAATACATCATTATATTCATATAAAATTTGATTAGATTTTTCAATGATTCTAATATTTCTTCAAAACGTCCGGTCCAATCGCCAAAATAATAATGCATAATTAAATTATCCAAAATGGTCATTATAAGTATGACCAATGATACAATAAAATTTTTCGAATCATTACTATATATTTTTTGAATATTGATGAATCAGCCAATTTGATTAAATCATGGCCATTAAATGAATATATTAGATATGATACGAAGAAAGATCCAATATAAAGAGAAGCAGATATATTATCGATAAAACGTCCAAATATTTTTTGATTAAATGCTGTGTCATTTAAGCCGGTAAATTCATGCTTTTTATAATCCATTATATGATATATAGCATTGATGAACAATATGTTCATAATAATGCATTTGATGATTGACCATCGATGTTTCCAATCGAAACATCCGAAACTGAATCCAATAGAACTAGTTTATTAAAAGAGATAAATGAGAAAAACGATAATTGAATATTTAATAAATTAAATGAAAAAATTTACCTGTAAAAATAATGAAAAAGTTTAACGGAAAATATTTTTATCGCCATTATATCATTGGATCAAGACCAAATAAAATGGTAATGGTGTTGTGCTGTTGTTGTTGTTCCAAACAAGACAATCAATTTGATGGAAGATCGGTAATAGATCGATAATTTTTTTTCTTGTTTCATCATAATTGAACATTTAGTTAAATTGAATAATTGATCTGAAAATAACAAAATAATAAACTATGGAAACCGTTGATAATGAATCGATAAATTTTTCCTTTTCATGATGATAGATATTACTATTTGACGCCCAATAATTTGTACTTTATTTATTTTTTGACTTATATCATCGAATTTGATTTTTCGTTTGTAGAACCATTGATACAAGAAATTTTTGATCCATAAACAAATATATAGATAGATCAGCTTTCAAATTTGTTTCCGAAATTACCATCTGGTATCAGAAATTATCACTAAAATTTTCATCTTATTTTTGAAATCTTTAAATTTCTGTTTGTATTATCAATATGAAATAACAGTTAGCAAATAGAATCATTGAAAATAAAAATCGTTGATCATAAACAAAAAGATCATAAAGATTCATACGGAAATATTCTTGATATAGATGAATCATTTCAAAATATCTAATCTGATTACATGATTTAGGACTGGTTTTCATCATCCAAATGGCACCAATTTGATCGAATAATGGCCATAATTGACCAGTGTCCATTGAATTTTTACGTTGTCGATCTAATAATGCCAGTAGATGATCCATTGATCTTGCTGATTGTATTTTAAAATTCTGTTGTCGTCGATCATTTCGATAGCGAAGATGATTGATTATATTCAATAATGTTTGTTGACTTTCATAATCCATCAATACCCAATAACATATAAATGATCCATTGAAAATGACGATTACCAATTGAATGATACTTGCTGCGTTCATATGAATTGTTAAAAAGTTATATAATAAGTAAAATGTCCATTCAATAACGAAAATTATTGCTAAATAACCAGCTTTTGAATGAAATTTCATTGAAATATAAGCCAATAAACGGATAGTACTTATTGTTTCTTCTTCATTAATTTCATTTGATTTCAATTGCCATTCGATTCGTTGTAATGATCGTCGTATTGTATTTTTGAAGTAATAAAAAACCAATCTTGAAAGAATTTCAATGAGAAATATCATCATTGATATATAAAATTTTAGTAGATTTATAATTGATATTTGTATTGTGTCGAAACTAACAACCCATTCACCAAAACAATAAAACATTATTATACTATCAACAATGGCCATTAAAATTAAAGCCACTGATATGATACGATGTTTCCAATTATCCGGATACATTGCCATAAATATTGATGAATCAGCCAAACGGATTAAATCATAACCATTCAGTGAATAAACTATGTATGATACAATAAATGCCATAAGATATAATGTTGCATTTATCTTGTCAATTAAAAGACCGAATGCATTTTGACTAATTTTAGTTGCCGATATACCATGATATTCATGTTGATTATAATCAAACATATAAAATATGCCATTAATGAATATTGTAATCATAATTACACATTTAATCATTGACCATCGATGTTCCCATTCGAATCGTCCGAAACAAAATCCAAATATGCTAATCAAAAAGAAAAAGTGGAAATTATAATTTCTGTTTTGCAAATTTCAAGTTCAAAGTATAAAAAAAATTTACCTATAAAAATTGTAGAAAAGTCTTACGGCAAATATTTTTATCTTCATTATTATATCATTTGATCAAGATCAAGTAATAATGGTCGTGGTCGTGGTTGTTTTTTTTTGTTCCAAACGAGACGATCAATATAATGAAATGATAAGTTAATTGAATACAATTTGAATATACAGCATGTGATCATGATTGAGGTGATGATCGATATTTGTTCCTGTTTCAAACATAGTTGATTGACAATTTAAATTGACAAATAAGATGATTGAGAGACATTCGATCGAATCGATTCGATCGTAACACAACACTATTATAAAGAAGACAATAAAAACAAATAAAACAACGTTGATAGGCTGATGAATTTTTTTTTAAATTTCCGTCTGTAGAAGTAACACGAAATAATTCGTTCCGAATATGATCTTTGAAACGATGAATTGTTGATCATAAATGAAAAGAACATAAAAATTCATATGGAAATATTCTTGATATAGATGAGTCATTTGATCGAACAATGGCCATAATTGACCCGTGTCCATTGAATTTTGGCATCGTTGATCTAATAATAACAGGTAAATTAATATAGATGGATGACTCCCAATGCAATGATATATTTATGATTGATTACCAACGATGAACATTATAATCATCGATGCACATTTTCCTTCGAAACGTTCGAAACAAAATCCAGCTGAGCTAATTTTACAAAACGAGGAAATGAATTTTGTAAATCATCATAAATTTCAAGTTCAAATTGCAATAAAAAATTTACCTGCAAAAATTGTAAAAAAAGTCTTACGGCAAATGTTCCAATCTTCATTTAATTATTATTATTATTATTATGGATCACAAGATCAAATAACTAGTATCAATGGCTGTTGTTGTTGTCGTTTCAATCTTTATGATGAAATGTAAATTGAATTCAATTTTTACACACCATACAATTTGATAATGATCAAGGAGGATATTTGTTCCTTTCTCATTATTTAATTGATTGATTGATTGATTTACAATTTATATTAAAAAAACAACAATATTCATCATCAATGATTGATACATAAACAAAAATCGATGACAAATATATTCTCGAACATTCGAATTCGAATGTATCCGTACGTTCTATATGAACAGGCGTTCCAAATCGAACGTTTATCATGTTTTTTTTTTGTTGCTTGTCCAATTCATTTTCCATTCCGAGTTTTTATTTTGATTTTTTTTTCTAAAATTTTTCACCAAAAGTTCCAAAATTGTTTTATCATCATCATCATCATCATCATAATCTGTTCATTTTATTACATCTCTCCCACGCGCATACAAACACAGGAAGTATCATTTTGGAGAAAAAAAAGATGATCTGTTTTTATGGTTGAACAAAAACGATTTCTCATATATACCGACTGTGATATAAACAACAACACTTTGTTCCTGTTTTACAAATATAAATATTCCACACATGATGATGATAATATCACTAGACATCAAAAGAAAAACAAAATGGGCACGAACATTCGTTTTTGTTTCTCAAGATTATATGATGAATAATAATGATGACATCAACATCATCATTTGTCTTTGTCACCACCATCATCATCGTTTTTGATTGACTTAATTACATCATTTTTGTCATTCGGGTAGTAGACTTAATTTAATATCCTCGATAATTTTTGTTTTCATTTTTCTTTTTATTTATTTATTTATTCATTTCAGCTTTATTATATCATGTTTTCAATTACATTCAAATGGTGATGAGAAAGAAA